TGATAAAGTGACGTGGTCCAATCAAATGAATGGTAGGTACGATACCCCATTTTTTAGGAGAGTACCGGAGTTGTCACCTTTAAAATTATTTGGGTTTGGCAAACTAGTAAATTGATGACCGTCATGAAAAGTATTTTTTCAGTTACATTGTTAGCATGACCAAATATAAATAAGGTTGAAATATTTTTTAGTTCCTATAAATATAGTGCACTATGATTTATGTCCTAGTAAAATTATTTTTGTGGTTTTCATCGTGGTAAGTTATGTTAATTTTCATTTTAATCCACCATTGATTAAATAAGTCTCTTCTCATTCTGTCTTATTATAGTGCACTTATCATAAATATAGTGCACTATGATTTACGTCCTAGCATGACCAACATCGGTTTGACAAAAAAAAACAACCCCAACTAACAAGTCTCTTCTCATTCTGTCTTATTATTCAAAAAGTATTTAATTTTGTTTTTAGAAGGCTGTTAAATGTTAATTACATATGTTAAAAATGCCAATAATTAGTTTTACTCTGATAAATAGCCTCAAAAGTTATAGAAAGGTAAATTTAAAATAGTGATTTTTTTCTCAACCGACTATAATTTTTTTTCTTCTCAATAATGGTTTTAGAGTTAGACATAGGCTAAAAATAAATAGTGCAAATTAAATTACATGAATGACAAAAAAGTTACATGAACCTAAAACAAAGTGTTATATACGATACTATTTGCAAAGACTGAAAACATATTTATACCTATAAATAATAATCTACTCCGAATTTTGGCAGAGTCCAAATTCCTAGATAGTCTTGGACCCGGTTCGGGCCGACCGGCCCGTGGACCGGCCTGGCCCGCAGACCGGCCTGGCCCGCGGACCGGCCCGCTACTGTGCGGGCCCGGAACCGGCCTGGTTCTCGGGTCCGGGTCCGGTTCAGTGCCCGAACTGGTGGGGGGGGGGGGGGGTCCGGGCTCAGGGCTTGGTTTTGGCGACCCGGCCCAGCCGGGTCGGGACCGGGTCTGGGCCTAACGGCCATAATTAAAAATAATAATTTCCATTTAATTTGTAAAGAGCCGTTTGGCTCTTGACCCACATCCCAAACGGCTATATAGCCGTTGGGTGGGTACCCGGGGGGGGGGGGGGGGGGGGGTCCGGGGCTTTTGGGGTGGGTGGGGGGTAAAAAAAAACCTATAAATACTCCTAATTTTAAACATTTTTTCACACCTCTTCTCCAACTCTTCCTAAATCCTACTCTCTACTCTACTCATCTCCATATTCATCTTCTCAAATTCTCTTATTCTCCATTATATTTTATTTTACTATTTAATACTTATACAATTATTATATCTACTTATATATTAATTATCTACTTATAAATACATATACTTTATAAACTATTAGTATATACTTAATACATAATATTATCTACTTCTCTTCTTATATTTCTTATCTACTTATTTTCTTATTCTCCAATCTCCAGTATACTTTACTATTTAATTCTTATACAATTATTATATCTACTTATACATTAATTATCTACTTATAAATACATATACTATATAACTTAAATTTCTTATCTACTTAATCTCTACTTATTATCTACTTATATCTACTTAATACATACATTCTACATCCACTTAATATATACTTTATATATTAAAGTATTAAATATAAGTGTATTACTCATCTTATAGTAGTATACTTATATATTATATACTATAAACAATATATTATATATCAGTTACACTTTAATTAATATTACTTAAAATCATTCTATTACTAATTTACTCCAATTAATTACTATACACATTCATACATTTGTCTTATTACTTATATTAACATTACTTGATTAGTTAATTAGTATTTCCACTAATTGTTACATTTTTCATTATACTAGTTAATTAGTTAATTAGTATTCCCATTAATTGCTAAAACAACTCTACTTTTAAAAAACCAGTTAATTGTCATTATAGTTAAAGTCACATTAATATAGTTTGAATTCATATTTGAACGAAAAAGGAGTAGTTCAATCATTTTATTAAAGTACTTAACATTATATTAAAGTAGTTTTCACTAAATTAAATTACTTGAAAAGTTGCTATAATTTAATTACTCACAATTTAGTTAAAGTCACACTTGTTAGTTTTAAGTATTTTAGAGTCACACTTTAATTAAAGTGCTTGAAAACTTGCTATATTTTAGTTCGAATTTTAATTTGTATTTTAGAGTCACACTTTAATTCACTACTTAATTAAAGTACTTCACATTTTATTAAAGTAGTTTTCACTAAATTAGTTTGAAGTATTAATTAAAATAGTTTTTATTAGTTGCATTACTTTTGTATTCATTATTATATTTGTTGCAAATTAATATTTGTTACATTTTTAAGATGGAAGGTGGTAGATATTCGGTTGATTTGGGTAACCTCGAGCGCAACCGGAGGAACGAGATTGGGAGGAAGAAATCCCGCAAAGGTAAACAACTTACCGGCTCTTCATCTCAAAGCCGAGATGATTTTGAAACGGGTTACCAAATGAGGGATGAAGATGCGATGTCCGAAGAACAACTACAACAAGAATTGGCCCGACATAATAACCGCTTTCTCCAACAACAACAAATCCCGACGACAATTGACGAAGATGAGCTTGAGGATGAAGATGCGGAGGAAATTGAACCGGAGACGGCCGAGGAGGAGGGTGGCGGCAGCCACGACGCCGACGAGCCTGCCTCATCCCAAACCGCCACCGGTAATAAAAAAAGTAAATCCGAACTAATGCAAAATAATTTTGATAAGTGGAAGGACGCACAAACCGGGTATTGGCACGCAACTTGCAAGTGGTGCAACAAAAATTATAGCTTGGGGACCTCCGGCGGATACGGATCCGCCGCAAGGCATCTTAAGGCAAAGCACCCCGTGGAGTATGCAAAATTAGGCGGTGGAACGGGGAAGCAAACTCAAATATCGAGGTTTGCGAATTCTCAACCTTTTGGTAATTTCTCATACAATGATGCACAAAATTCGACTGGTTTGGCTAACTTAATTTGTGAAGAAAATTTGTCTTATATGATTTCTGAAAGTCTTACTTTAAGAGATTATGCATGCGGTAGTTTAAATCCTCAATTTAGAGGTTATAGTCGCAAAACTGTTAAGAAAGAAATTATAAGGCTTTATGGTGCGGAAAAGCAAGGTTACAAATTTTTTTTTGCAAACTTTGATAAGCGTGTTACTATTTGTTCTGACATATGGGAGGATGATTTTCATCATTTAAATTATTTGGGTCTGACTGCACATTATATTGATGAGGATTGGAATATGCATAAACTAAACGTGTTCTTGCTTTTCATGAATTTAATGATCATCACATCGCTGAACATATTTATATTTTGATTGAGCGTATTTTAATTGAGTATAATTTGATTGATAAGATGTTTGCTATTGGTTTCGATAATGCTACTAATAATACTGCTGCTATACCTAGATTGCGTGAATTGTGTTGTGTCAATACTTTGATGGGTAGATTTTTTCATCAACGTTGTACATGTCATGTTATAAATTTATGTGTGCAAGACGATCTAAAAGCGTTAGGAGATGCTATGGAGGTAGTAAGGGGGGGGGGGGGTAGACGTATTTGGGATAATGGTCAACTTAGATTAAAATGACAAACTTATTTGACTGAAAGAAGTGTGAGATATGTTGTTTTTTTAAAGATTTGAGTATTCGTTAGAATAGTACTTATAAATTACTTAAAGTTGTTCTTAGATATAAAGAACATTTTCCTGCATTTTTAAAACAACATGATAACTATATTATAAACTCGACTGAGATCGACACTTGCGAAAAAATTTGTAATGTTTTGATATATTTTTTAATGCAACTGAAATTTTTAGTCATGTTTATAAACCTACCGCAAACCAATTTATTCGTGAAGCTGTTAATCTCGTCGGTGCTTTTAGAGAATTTGAGAATGCCATTTACGTGAGTTATTTTTGTGATTTTGTGAAGGAAAAGTTTTTAAAATATTATGCAAATATTCCGTATATTTACATTTATTCTCAATCCTCGTTTTAGACTAGCTAATTTGGAAGATTGTTTCAACTTCTATTATCTTACTTTTTTTGGTAAATTTCTAATGTATAACAATAACCCCATATATCCGAAAACGGAATACAACGAGGTTAGTGCCTTATTTTATGCCTTATTTAATGAGTTTCGTGCACAATAACCCCGGGTCCGGTTCGGGCCGGGCCTCGGTTCAACTTAATTTTTTTTTTGGTTTTTCCTAATTAACCCCCAACCCTCCCCCCTCACCCCCAAACCACCCCAAATGGCCCAAAATACCCAACCCAAAAACTTAAACAAATTCAAAAAAAAAAAAAAAAAAAAATTGGCCCGGACCGGGCCCGAACCGGCCGGGCCGGTTTACCTTTTCAAGGGGCCGAGCCCGGCCCAGAACCCCAGCGGGTCGGGCCTACCCGGACCGGTCCCTGGCTGGGCAGGCGGTTCAGGACTTCAGGCCAATTCAAAGAGTGACCAGGCCGGGCCGCCCGGTCCGAGTCCACCCCTACTTGCAAGTGGTGCAAGAAAAAGAGTGTAACTTGAGGCGTTCACACGAATACGGGATGCCAATAAAACATATGAAGTCCTGTGACAAAGGCAAAACAACAACCAACGATGGTGGGAATCCCAATTGATATTTATTAGAAAATGTATTTTATATTGTTATTTTTTTCTCAATTCTCAAATGTAGTTCCTATTTCAAATAAATGCACTTGAACTTTGTTTTTAATAAGAATTTGCATAAACTATAATAAAAAAAATTAAACAAGACCCGGCCCGGCCCGGCCCGGCGGGTGGCTCGACACGTGACCCAGGCGGGTGACCCGGCCCGAACCGGCACCAGCCATAGGACGGGCCGGTCCCGGGCCTACCTCTACTAAACCCGAGGCCTGACCGGGCCTTGGCCCGGCCCGGGTCCATGACTACTCCTAGATAACACATGTGACGCATGTTCAGAACAAGTGGACCTAAGTTTTTCCTCTTCACACAAACAATATCACATGTGTTGTTGCTATCAAAAGATACCAGCATATAACACCAGAGCCACTATACAGAAAGATTCCTAGACTTCAAATGTTTCTAAATTTCTCCCACGTGACCAGTCCTATACTCTTAATCCAAAAGTAGTTTTATTGTGTCATGTTTAGCGTGTCGCCACATATTAGGGGTGCTCTTGGAGAACGATACACAAACTTGTTCAGCTCAATTATATTACAATGATGCTTCGTGTACACGCTTGTACACGGCATTTTACACGCCGGTCAAATTGTCCGTATATAGATGACAATTTGATCCGTGTGTTAAATGCCGTGTACAAACAGCATTTTTATTATAGTATGGCATAACTATTCACAAATAACCAGAAACCTAGAGGATGGATAATAGAGGGATTGAGATAATGAGTACAAATCAACTGCAAGGAGACCATCAATTAAAGTGTGCAGGCCCAAAGAATCTCTCACTACTCATCAGTACCAAAGTAACGATCACCAAACTCACCCAGCCCGGGAATGACTCGGAATTCTTCATTCAACGCAATGTCAATCTCCGACGTTACGATTTTCAGAGAGGGGAAATGCTTGCATACACAATGTATCCCTTCTGGTGCCTATACACAGTGAGAGGGAGAGAGAGAGAACAGTCAATAATGATGGTTTTTTAAGTTTTTCTTGAACCCTATGACCAAAACTTGTACCAAATGATCTCACAGACTAGAATTAGAGGGACTGTTTCATTTAGTCCCAAAAAAGAATCATATTTAATACAGCAGAACTACTTTAGCATGTAAATGTGCCCCCTCCCGCCCACCGCCCACCGCCACACCGCACACCGCCACACCGCCCACCACCCCCCTGAAAAGTAATAAACATGTCACAAATTTAATTAAACCAAAACATACATTTTTTAATATATAAAAATTCACAACTTTTAAAAGATGCACATTGTCAAAATAAAAAGAATATATCATAATCAAACATGATGACTTTACAGTCATACTGCTACTTTTGGCAAATTATGAAACCTCCACCACTCCAAAAATAAAACAAACAAGCAACAGTCATTCTTCAAGCACTTGTATCTAAAAAAGTACAATATCATCACCATAAACAAGTTACATATAAATATATATGTAGTACTCCGTAATAAATTAGGTTAAACCAACCAATGAATTCAAATAGTACTCATTACAATTAATGCATCAGTCGTAGACTTGTTTCTAACAAAAGTTAAACAGTTGTACCTTGATAATTCTATTTTTTTTAGATCGTCTCACCATGAGACCCTGACTCACAGAAGACCACCACCTCAACTAAAAATTGTTCAACAGTTATGTTTGTTTAGATGTGGGAATGACTAAAAACTTACAGAAATAAGGTTTAAGAAGACAATGTGGGATTCTGGGACTCCTTTTTGTATGAGCAGCTCAATTGCCTGGTTAGCAGAGTTACCTTTATGTGGAAAATAAAACAGATAAATTGTATCCTTAGTAATGTGTTTTTATAAGGGGAAAATAATTTAAATACCCCAAACTTTGAAGGAGTGTGAGGTAAGTACCCCAAACTTATATGTGTAATATATATACCCCGAACTTTATAGTAAAAGTTATCTTAGCACCATGATCATATATTGTTTCTTTCATAAATGTAATTTATGTTATGAAGTACCAACTTTAAAATATTTAGCATTCATCAGAATACAATTAACATTCTAAACCTCCATTTTGAAATAAACAATATTACTACGGTCTATATAATTGTGACGCTTTTAATTTGTTACTCCCTCCGTCCCGCTAAGATTGTCTCATTTTACCTTTTCGATCCGTCCCACTAAAACTGTCTCATACCAAATTTGGTAAAGTTTGTGTGATTTTAAATCATTCTTATTTTATTCTTACTTTATCAATTCAATATCAACCACATAAACCACTTTTTATTAATTTGTGTGTCATTCCCTCTTGTCCCATTGTTAGTGGGACGGAGGGAGTATTTGTCATTGCACGGCTTTCATTATTAACATATTTAATTGATTTTACATTATTCACACTCTATTTTGATTTTATTTTATTCATTGATGTATTAAACAATTTTCTTATATAAAACATTATAAAATTTGTCCCGGGTTAAAATTTTAACATGTGACTTTTTAAACTCTATGAATTTTACTAATAGTCATTGTTAATAGTTAAAGTCGTGTAAAGTCGTACATTGACATATATCAAACCAAAAGTGTTGCAATTATATATATATAGACCGAGGAAATATTAGTTTTATCAAAAAAAAAACAAGAATGTTAATTGCACTCTCATAAATGATAAATGTATTTAATTTATTTAACATCATAAATTTACATTTGTGAAAGAAAAATCATAAAATCATGGTGCTAACATAACTTTTATATAAAGTTTGGGATATTTATAATACATACGTAGTATATAAGTTTGGAGTGTTCATCTCACACCCCTTCAAAGTTTTGGGTATTTACATTATTTTCCCCTTTTTATAACGGTGGAACTGATCACCTTGCCACAAATAAGTGAGTGAGTGAGCGAGGAAGTAAGAAAGTACGTAAATAAATTAATAAATATGGTTGAATATGGCCGAACCCAAAATCTTTTGGATTAAGGCTTGGATGTTGTTGTGGTGGTTGAATATGGTCGAATTACCTGTAGCTAGGACTGGATCCAGAAGCAGAACATGGCGCTCTGATATATCTTTTGGGAGTTTTTCATATATAAGCTGTTAATAATATTAAAGATTCAAGAATAGTAAGTACCACAACATAGCAATGGCATACCCTAGAACTAAGACTTTACTTCCAAGGATTTGATTTTCTGACCTGTTTACCATTATCACCATCGCGATGAATCAGAATTTTCCCGATCTTTATCCCCTTGCAACAAGCACGCAATGCATTCTCCATACTTTCACCACTGATAACGAAGCAGTAAATTACTTATAACCAGCCAACTCTGAATTTTTCAGCACATGAAAACTAACATCCTGATCCAAATATTTGCCAAGGAGATGTAGAAAGTAATATGCTTGGTTTCCATCTTATCGTTCTTTCTTTCTTTCTTTCTTATTCTCTCACTTTCTCTTGTAATATGTATACATTACAACTTTAGATGGATGAAAAGAAAACAGAGAAGAAAATAGAAGACATGGAAGGATAATAAATGTCGGGGAGTAAAAAATTGTTTGAAACTCAATAAATCAATTTTAGATATTTTTCTAACTCATTTTATTAATGTATTTCTATTATATAAAGATTAAGAGAGCTAATCATATATTTTAAAAGTAGCATCCAAATTTGATATTCATTTGTATTTTCTAGACAAAGATATCCTCCAACATTAAAACTAATACAAACTGCAGAATATAATTTTATGTCTTTTCATTATTAACCTGCGAACTATTGAGACACCACATAGTTTCTTGCAAAAGTCGACGCCAGTATACACTGACCCTGGAGTTTAAATAACAAGATGTTCAAACTTTTAGGCACTCACTTGATACAAAAAAGAAACATCAGTGAATACTATTACAATCCATTTCAAACAAGTAATCGAGATAGGATGTGGTACACAAATTTATAAAATAAAATTGGGTGAGTGTATAAATAAGCTTGTGTGCAACTAATGACACAACACCTGTTGGAGTGACTACTTGCTTCTCAGTGAAAGGTAAGTGACCAAGACCATGCTCCACAACCTATTAAATATGATATAGTAATTGTTACACTTGGGACCACGAGCAGTGTGCAACTTGTTTAGTATGGAGAAGTGTCATATTCTAAAGAGTCGAAAGAGTAGATCACCAAACGGATTAGCCGATCAGAATAAAAAACAAAATCATGTTTGGAAATGTCCCTATCCCGGATCAAAGTGTGCATTCCTCTTATCTGTAAGAGCAAGCATCCAAATTTTTTTATTAGCTTTGTTAGAGTGCTGTAAATGATCTAAATTCTTATATGAGAGAAAGATGTGTGATTTTCCATGAGTCAAAATGCTTAAGAACGCAACTACATCTCTCAAAGCAGACCAATCTCCAACATCCTACTTCCAGTTTTCGTATATTAATTCTTTTCAAATGTTAGAGAACATTATCTTTATTTTGATTATCCACTACCTTCGGCTCCTAATGTTAAAGGCATGAGTATTACCAAAACAATTGGCTCCAAACATACCTGGAATGTTGACTGAATAACATATACATTAGGATATATTTTGCAGAGATCATGCTGGCCAAGCTTTGTCATAATATGCTGGACAATTAAATCAACAGCAACATGGTTATCACCACCCCTGGGTATGATCACATCGGCATATTTCTTTGAAGGGAGAACAAAATCATCAAAAGCAGGCTTGACAAATTTTGCATACTGCAGAAGAAAAGGATACCCGTAAGGTATGCTACAGTAACAATTACTAACAATAATTCTGTTGCGTCATGCACTAAAGCCGAATCACAAAACCAAAAGTTCTATGATGGAAGTTATCTGCGTCCTTGGCTCCTTGCACTTTTAAATGTGATGCCCCCAGCAAAAAAGCTTATTTGGTCAAGGTACAAGTCTTACTAGTCATGGAGTTATATTTCTTAGATATTACAAAAAGCAGAGTCGATCATATTGAACTTGCTTGCAACTTTTTTTAGACAAATATGCTGTGTGATATGAAACAGGAAAGTTTTTCTTGACAATCTTTTTGGGATGGAGCCATGGACGGAATTTTTAAATAGTGTATGATTAGCAGATGACTAAGAAATTATATCAGCATCAAGTCCAGATTGCCTGGTTCCAAATTGGCACAGGAGTGCTCATTATGTCAACTTGTATGTTGCATTTTTTATTTTGTTTAAATTTTGCAAAGGCAAACAGCTTCACTACATGTGGCCTCTAATTTGAACTTTAAAAGCTGATACTTAAGTAAGTTAAGTTAAAGCTCGCCTGCTCAAGAACTGAGATTATATCTCTACCGCGGTCAGCAACATCACGCCTTATTCGTCGCGCAAGTCTTACATCAGCATCTGGAGAATATTCTCACAGTTGAAACAGTCAGATGTCTTTGAGGACAAAATACATAGCATACATAAATCAACAGTTTAGTGGATAGAGAATGACACTAGGGATGCTTCCTTAGTGATGTCAAGCATAGGTCAACACAAATAACTAAATGACCATATGGATCTCTGTATTCATCAGAGAGACATGTTCAATCTATCTATGGTAGCTTTTGTTGAATCCAAGGCAACTTCAATCGATCTATAGTATGTCATTTCTAACATGTTCAAGCTTGTCTAAACTTTAAAAGGGATATATGTATCTAAAAGAGAGCCTTATAGTTACTGGGTATTGAGACACTTACAAACGTTTAATGGTGGAGTATAAATTCCTCATGATTTTTTTGCAAGTGACATGCTCTTCATCTTATTATCAGATCGAGAAAATCTTAGTTTGGCAAGGTAAAATAGAAATTAGTGTTGTGTTATAGCAATAGAATATTTAGTTAATTGTAAGAGATCTATTAGACTATTAGCGATCTGTTTTATTGTGAATTGATTTCATAGTATCACAGATTTGTACAATTTTCTTATTTCCTTAAGGGAAAAATAATTAAAATATCCCAAACTTTGAAATAGTGTGAGATGAGTACCCCAAACTTGCATATGTAATTTAAATACCACAAACTTTATATAACAAGTTATTTTAGCACCATAGTAAAGTATTATTTTTTTAAAATGTAAATTTATGGTTTTAATTGCATAATTTAAAATATTTAAGAATTCATGACGACACAATTAACATTCTAAACTTCCATTGCGAAATAAATAATGTTACCCCAAATCAATATAACTACAACACTTTTAATTTGCTATTTTAAATTATTCAATTAACCCCATAAATTTACATTTTTGAAAGAAATGATACATTTCAATGGTGCGAAAATAACTTTTTAATTATTTTAATTACATATACAAGTTTGGGATGTTTATCTCACACCCCCTCAAAGTTTGGGGTATTTTTATTATTTTTCCCTTTCCTTAATTAGGTCAGTTTTAGCCTATAAAAGCAATCTGTCGTATTTTATTTTGATACAATAAAAAATATATGCTGACCCCACTCTTTTGGGATTGAGGCTTGGATGTCGTTGTACAATAAAAATTCTACCTTTCTACTTGGTATCAAAAGCATTCAATTCCGCAGGCTCTGCTTCTGCACTAAACAAACAAAACCCAGTTGTAGTTGTTCTTATTACTGCTTGTTTTTTCTGGTCACTTTCACTTTGACCCACAATGATCGTCCAATATTGCAAGGGTCTATTAAGAGCGCCCGAACAAGACCTCATCCAAGGTCGAGAACGAGAGAATGGAAGTAAACTAGGGCAAAGAGAAAGATCAATTTTTGCATCTATTATGATCACAAGAAGAGAAACGAAAATAATAATGCTTTATTGGAATTAATTTGGTGTATGACCTAATCAAGACCCACCAGAATTAATTCTTCCAAAAGTCACTTATTAATCAATACTAGGGTCACTTATTACCATCAGACCCCTAATTCTAGTAGGACATAATGATAAGAAGAAACTGCCTAAAAGTGGAATATGAAATAACAATAGTAGTCTGATTAGGAAACTAATAATAAATTGTAATAAACAATCTTGCAGTAGCCACTTAATCTCCAGGGTTACAAGTTTTGCTTGGACCTCACTTGCACTGATTGTGCCTCTGTGGCCCAATCGTCGTCGTTGATAGGCACGACCCCAGAATGCATCCATATCATCACTCCCCCGGTGGACCACGAGCTTGTTCTCAAACTCGAATGTAGGGTAAGCTGCGCGAAATACCTCAATAAGTTCCGAGGATGCTTCCTCTGCTGACTGCCCCTTCAAGTGTACCAATAGCTCCAACTGGACGCGATTCAAACGGCTGCGGAGGATGGCAGCAGGTTCCAGAGCCATAGAGTTGTCTTTCAGTGGAGATAGTTGTCCCCTAGAATCTGGGGGAAGTCCCTTGTGTGGTTTGAGTAAGGAGACATGGAAGACCTTGTGGATACGACTAGCTGGCGGCAATTGGAGCTGATACCCAGTGTCCCCTATGCGAGCTAATGGCCCGTAGTACTTTGGTAAAAGTTTGTGATGGTGCTGAGTCAAGCGATAGGGGGTGCACCCGAAGCCAAACCCAGTTTCCAGACTCAAAGGTCAAGTCCCGATGAGATTTGTCATACTGCAGTTTCATGCGTTGTTGAGCCTGCTCTAGTCTGGTGCGAGCTGTAGACAAGAGTGCATCGCGATCAATGAGCTCACGCTCCACACTATCTAAGCGAGTCATGCGCGGTGAGTTAACTCGTTAGATCGTGGAATCGTCGATCTCCGCCGATCTGCATCATTCATGTCCGTAGGGAAAGAATACGATGCTCACGGTCGGAATTCCAAAACGACACTCAGGTCATAAATCGGAAATGATGCAGACTGAGACCAACACCTTCAGTCGCCTTCTTCAGTCCTATTCTGCAACACTTGTTTTGTTCTTCTCCTTAGAAAATCCCTGTCCCTTCTCCATAACATCTTCTAAGACTTGAGCTTTTTATTTACAAGTTGATTTTTTTAATCCTTTTTCCATATTTGTATTTTGTGTTTTATTGTATACCATTGAAATGACATTAGTATTAATATTTGAAGATTTTTAAGTTTATACATATATACATACATCTTAGGAAAATTCCCCACTAACCACATCAGTTACGGTAGATTTGAGAGAAAGTAGGAAACTCCCACTAACGGTTGAGTATTTAGTGGCTCAAAGAATTCTTACTCTTGATTTTGTAATTTTAGACGGATGAGATGAATTTGTATTTTGTACCGGAAGCACACTTTGTATCTAATCTTAACCCTATATATATATATATATATATATATATATATATATATATATAACTCGGTAAGTAAACCACACATCGATATATAGGTATGATAGTTTTGTTGCTAGGATATTACGATTCGAGTTACGATCCTCGAGTTACGATCTCCTTGACCCTCTCTGATCCAAGCTAGGATCTCGAGTTTAACAACCTTGCTCGACGTGACAATGCATCGGTGACACTGTTTAACCAATTTTTTGAATCCAAGTTTTTATTCCACTCGAAAATTGAATCCCGTCAATTTGCTCAACCAAATTGTTGTGGTGATGTGGAAGACGTTGATCGAGTAAATGTTTCAAGCTAGAGTGATCAACGTGGATCAAGAACTTTTGTCCCCAGAGATACGGTTGCCAATGGGCTATAGCTTTAGCTAGATCAGTCAACTTGTGCTTATATGCAGCCAATTTTACATGTCGAGTTGCTAATTTGCGACTAAAATGGGCAATGGGGTGCCCATCTGATAGAACCCTCCAGAAATCACAACAAATTCAAAGAGAAATTGTAAAACCGAATCAAGAAACCAAAGCAAGCTTTATTATTGAGGAACAGTATCTATGGCCGAAGCCCCCAATTGAGCCGAAGCCCCCCAAAAGAAAGAGACGGAGAATCTCTAACTTTCCGAGTCCCAAGACCAAATGTCTAAAAGCCTTCTCTACTTCTCCCAGCTTCTTCTATTTATACTAGAGCCTGTTTGGAGACATCTTTTTTCGGCTTATCAGACTTATCAGCCAACTTTTTCACCAAACACGTAACTTTTACTTTCGCGCGCTGGATTGTGTAATAAGCAGAAAAAGTAAGGTTGAAGTTACTTTTCTGGCTGTATTGGCTGAAGTTACTGTAGATGACCATTTTAGCTATTTTACATATAATTTTTTCTTTATTTTATTAATAAAATATATTTTTAAAATATTTTTTTCTTGAATCAGCAGAATCAGCCAAAACAGCCACTTCAGCCAGAACTTCATAAATTTTAGCAGAATCAGCCAAAAGAGCCAATTTTGGTGCTACCAAACGGGCTCCTAATCTAAATTTTGGTGCTACGATGTCAAGGAAGAAACATCTCTTGCAACGATGTCCGCGGACCCATTGATCATCACAGTTGTAACACAACCCTTTAGCGCGTCGTATTGCGGCTTTGGCCTGGGTAATGTTTTTGAACGGGGAAAGGTTGCGCCGAGCAATAGTCGTTGCAAGCAGAGGATGGTATGGACGCTGGGGTTGCTGACTTAGTGGCATGTTGGACGTGTCCAGCCATTGTTTGTGTCGCCGTTGGGACACAAATTTATGTTCACACTTACGGGCCCACATCATCGCAGAGTCGAGGTCAAGTAAATCTTGATTTTCCACTTCTATGCGGACTGCCTCACGTAATCCAGCTGTAAAAATCCGTACCTGCATGCATACTGATACGCCACTCGTGTGTCAATAATTGCTGGGAACATTCATATGTATGATTCCAAATCAGTTGTTTGGACCAATTTGGCAAGAACACCTTCCAGATTGCACTGCAAGGGGGGTTGAAGCGCCTGGAGCATTTAGTATAAAATTACATCCATGTGAGACCAGTTTCTGAGGGGGTCCAGTTGGTCGGCCCATAACTGAGCAGTTTCTACCATGTGGAAAATTGCTAGTCTGACGCGTGCCTGTGGTGATGCCCTTTGTTGGGAAAAGAAATGCTAGCAACGTTTGAGCCAAGAGAGTGTATCGCTCTTACCTTCAAACTGTGGAAATTCCAATTTTGAAAATCTAGGAACAGTGTAGTCATCACTATCCCAGTGGCGGTTATCTGTTTCTCGGCGATGACCAAACCCAGGCAGATCTGAGGGGGGACCTATTATCGTGAGTTTCTGCACAACATGTGTCAATGTCGTGACTGCTGGCTCTGCTGCTGGCAAATGTTCCAGGCTTGCAACGGCTGCTGGCAAAGTTTCGAGACTGGTGACAGATTGTGTGAGGGAAGATAATTGTTCTTCAACATCAACTTGGCACTAATCAATGGACTTGATCATCTATTTGAGAGGTTATATTGCTAAATTTCCCACCATCCTGCCTGATGTTGATACCAAGTTGTTAAGAGCGTGCGAACAAGACCTCGTCCAAGGTCAAG